GTTACTTTCTGTAGGGTTTATGCGCCCCTAATGTGACAGCTGCTTGTTTTTTCAGTCGACAGCTAATGGCAAGTCGTGCTCAAACAGTGTATGAAGTAGCTGCTATACGAATATTATTCACCATGGTTTGATTCTTGATATTTCAAATTCTAGCGATGCCGATGGGATAAGATGTAACAATCTTGTCTTATGATGCTGGGGTCCATTGTTGATGGGTGCGTCCGTGTGTGAAAGAGAAAAGAGTGAGCGGGAGAGGGGTGATGAATTAAGCCAGAAGATTGATAGTGCCACATGTGGGGAGATCAGCACGTCATTTCGAATTCTTTGCAATAACTTGCTCCGTCAATCATTCATCATTTATCGATTCCGGCATATCCTCTCGTTCGTGTGAAATCGGATATGAGATCGCGACGCCGGCATTGGAACGGGAAATCTTACACGAGGGACGCACGACTCGAGCTCTCCGCGGGGGAGACCGTATGATTAGTAACTTGCGCGTCTTTCCGATTTTCAGGAGGTGGGTTTCTCTTCTACCTTTTTGCTCCTCACATATGTGCCCTTGGGATACTAGAATGGATGTTGTAGTTTCGCAATTAAAGTGAACTTAGGTATTGTGCTATGCAAACATAGAAGTGGTAGAAGTAGCGGCATGTCGTAGGTGATTGTAGCTGTCGCATGGCTGCGGATCGTGTGGTATAGGTCCCTAACACTCCTAGGTGTTTCTTTTCGTGATGAGTGGACTATAGTTTTGCTAGGATTTGATCCCAGCTTTCGTATTCCCAAAGCTTTGGATACTTCTAGGTTGCACAAATTCGAATGAGATAAAGATTCGTCTTCCCCGCTAAGATGGACCTTGAGGAGGCACGGTGGGCCTCGTATACATTCGATTGGAAAATGTACCAAAAAAGTATTAAATCTATTGCACTTATATTAATTCAACCCTAAATTTTTTGACAATTTGCAATTGTAATACATTGCCAATTTTAACTGGAAATCTCTGACATGGACGATGGCCAACTTACATGGCATGGCCAATGCTGAGATGGATAATTTTTTAAAATTTTTCTGATTTGTTAATACATTTTTTTGTTTTTTTTTTCTTTCCTTCCTTTTTTGTCCCAACTGTGGGCCGACGAGATCGCTATCTGACCATCACTGTCCACGAGCGAGGGCCAACAACCCTCACTTATTTTGGGCGAGGGCATCGCGGCCCTTGTTGGCCACGGGCAAGGGCCTCTTTGCCCTCACAGGCCACAGGTGAGGACCATGACACCCTCGCTTAGTTTGGACAAGGGCCACGATGCCCTCGCCCAACCATAGTTGTAAAAAAGAAAAAGAAAAAGAAAAAAAATATTTAAAAATTGTAACATTTGTCCACGTCGGTGCTGCTCGTACCACGTAGGACGACTAATGTTTAAATTAGCGATTTCCGGCCAAAATTAACCATATAAACTTCATTGGCGATTTGTGGAAATGTTTTGAATTAAATTACTACAATTGAAAGGTTAAGATTGAATTAGTACTATTATAATAGGTTTAGGACTTTTTAGTACTTTTCTCTATTCGATTCGTGGGAATGTACGTGTCGAAGTTGGTTGGAATTTATATCAGATAGATAACGTGACTGGCCGGTGTGATCGACGTTTGAGAATCCAACGACCCAAGTTAGCAATTAATGGAACCCAACTGCAAGTACATGTACATTGGCAAGTCCCATCGGATTCAACTATTCGAATGAAGATTGGGTTCATAGGCCTAATGTTATTCGACAATCTCCATAACTCCGTTTTCGTTTGGCATATAGTGGAAAACCCCCGTGCCGTGCCTACAAAGACAGTCGAGCTCTTGTTCTCTTCATGGCGATTCGTGATCGGCTCTGGTGAAGTCAAAATTATCCACGATGCTAAAATTTACATAAAATTATCACGTATGATACAAGTGGCTAGCTAGTCGACTCTTAAATCCCGTCTCGCAAGGAGTTGGAGCTGGGTAGATCCGCCCGTGCCAAGTTTGAATCAAGTATTATCAGTCCGTCGCATGCCCGCGCCCACATTTGTGTTTTAAATGTATGACAATATACAGAACAATCGAAGCCAAATTCGATGTCTAACCTAGAAAAGTTGTAATGCACCCTTTCCATGCACAAGCAATCAAAGAAGTGATACTCTGTGAGCCGCCTAATTTCCGATGCGAATGTCGTGTCTTGTCTTTGATTGAATCGAACACATGGACTTAGTCTGGCACACGAAATGCCAACTACTTTAACTGCCCAATATATCACTTGACCACAAAAGGAAAAAAAAAATTGTTAGAATAATTAAACATCAAAACATGCATTCATCTAACAGCTTAACCTTTTTTGAACAGTTATTGGTAGTTTCACGAAATCTCATATGGTATCAGAGCTGGAGGACCCGAGTTAGCTTAAGCTTTCAGAATAATCATTGATTACGTAGTAGAAAATTTTTTAAAAAAATTGTTAATTTTTTTGCGAAATGAACGCGTTATCCTTTATTATAAACTCGCTTAGCACATGGATTCTACATTTTTGGCACGTTTCAAGCAAATGGTGATGGCGTTCGGAACTCCAACAGAACCTGTCACGGGAGACTTTGCCCTCTGGTCGGCATTTTCTTTTTATTTTTTCCTTTGTTTTTTCTTTCTTTCTTTCTTAAAGAATCTGATTTCAAAATTTCATATGCTTTTCCTGTTCAGATATGGACTAACCTCGTCGCAATCGAAGATTATTACGTACAAGTTACTAAACAAAGGTTATTATATACAATTCAGCCAAAATAATATATAGGATTTGATGCCGTCCTTTGCGACTCGTTTGTCCACGTGGCACTCTCCGATAGAATTTCTTGTTGGCCCACGTTACCCAGCAAGTCAACTCTCAGCAGTGCATTGAAAAAAAAAAAAATGAACGAACAAAATATATTATCATCGTCGATAAAAATATTTAGATATAAATAATTATCGATAATGAAAAATATTTTGATACAAACGATTATTTTTTGAAAAATATTTTTAAATTATTTATTTTTCGCGAAACAAATGGATTATTAGAAAAAAAAAATAATCGTTTGTATCGCTTGAAATAATCAGTCAATGAAAAAATATTTTCATTACAGATAATAATTCATGTCTAAATATTTTTTGTGGACGATGGAAATCTTTTTGTTCTCATTTCCGTACGCAATGCGAACCATCATTTTTAGGAAAACATTTTCCAAATCGTTCATTTTTTTTCCGCGAAACAAGCGCGCCCCGAGTCTGAAAACTCTTATACATGAATTTTACGCTCGCCTTTTTTTTTTTTTTACACCGCTCGCGAACTTAGAGGGACGTATCACTGGCCCCGGTATTTATCCGCTTAAAATGGATTTCTTTTCCCCGCAGAAAAAAAATTAGAAGAGAAAAAGAGATCGAAAGTAATTTCTTCCTGCGGATGGAATTAATCAAAGGGGGGCGGCGTTCGGTCTCTTGTCACCGAGGTTGCCCCTTGCCCGAAGCAACTCGACTTGAGATCGTAACGTGACGCGGAAAGCAATCGAAAGCCAATCCCCCCTTCCCCTTCCCTTTCTCTCCTCTTAAGAAAAAAAGATTATTGTAACGAAGCGGCTGAGGTCAAAGTTTTGCAAAGTAGTTGGAAGGTAGCGCGGGGAGAATCTCGCCGCTAATCTCTGGTATTTGCTGGCCAATTATGTCACGAAAACTTTAGATTAATTCGCACTTCTGATAAAAGGTCAAATCTCCTGTCTGGTTGATTATACATGTCATGGGTTTCCCGATCGCTCAAGCAACCGATCTCCTTCTCGAAAATATATAAAAAGGAAGCAGCCTTCGACCGCATGAATTGAGGGTGCTTAAGGTCATATGTATGTGTCCCACTTAAAACGAAACACGAGGGGGGAAAAATAAACTCGCCTCTAACTCGCGTTCCGAGATACTAATAAGGATTCGAGATAATCGTTCCAAAAAGTCCAGAACCTATTGTACGGCGGCTAATTCAGTCCTAAATCTTTTAATTATACTAATTTAGTCATGAAATTATTGCACGGCAGCCAATTTAGTCCTAAACATTTCAACTATACTAATTTAGTCATAAACCTTTAAATGATTTGCCAATTTACTTATAAACCTTTTGACAATTCGCCAATGTAATTCTTCTGGGTAATTGAGGTCAAAAATTGCCAAAGAACTAAATTAGCAAATCACTAAAAGGTTTATGGCTGAATTGGCCGCTGTACAATAGGTTTAAGACTGAACTGGTCGCCGTACAATATAATTATGATTTTTTTGAACAATTTTCTCGTGAGAATTCATATGATTTTCCATCTTGTTGCTTACGACTATCACGAGAAAGTCAGTATGACGTTTTTCTATCTGGTTACTCGACGAGCAAGCCCGCCTTTGATAAAAACCCTTTGAAAAAAAAATTGGAGGAGGAGGAGAAAAACAATAGTTCATCTGACCACTTAAAACCTCACCAGTTCTTCCAAATTCAAAACCAACCCTGTTTGCTCACTGTTCGGTGCCTTTAACTACCATGCAACATTTCTTGTGTTAGTTGAAAGAGGAAGACAACTGCAACAGATTTCCTGGAAAAGAATCACTACATTGAGAATGTCTGTTGTTTCCTTTGAACAAGATTCTCCCTAATAACCTTTTTTCAATGACATGGATTGGAGTGGAGTGTCCATGAAGGATATTGACTTTCTGTACAGACAGGTCCCCCTCCTTGGAGATTCCAATCCACTTTCAGCACCAACATGGGAGCCATTTTGGGTCCTTAAAAGAGTACAGCTCTTGGCTGTCTGAGCACCTACTTTTGAACAAAGTTCGCTAGTCATTTTAGATATGAAAAACATCATGTTCCTTCTTCTCTCTGCAAACATTCATCTTTTGTCACTCTTCTTGGCTGTCCTTAAAGAAGTCATCTTTTCATGTTGCACCAGAGGGCTCACCACCAAGAAGTTCGAAATTGACAGGTCAAATGCCGAAAAAGAGGAGACTAAACAGCTCACTAGAATTGAAATTTGGGGGGGAATCAGATTACATGATCGACTACCATCATAAGCTAATACAAAATGGCTCTCATATATTAGCAACAAGCAGTAGAAACGTAAACGCCGACTTCGCTTCCCTCGTCCGTGCATCTCCGACCCCGAACCTAAGATAATCTCGGAGCGAGATGCAGAGAAAGTCCGTACTCGAAAACACTAACCGACACGGGTTATTACGACCGAGATTCCGACTCGAGTGCTGATCGAGCATTGTTTAAGGTTTTCTCCGGGAATAAGGGAAGCTGTTGCAGCTGCTACTTTCTTCGTGCTCTTCCCGGTCGCCGTGGTGCGAGGACACCTCAGTGACGCCGCTCGATCCCGAGGACGAGGTACCCGGTGCGAGATTCAAGTCGGTCTTATATCTAGCCATGAAATCGTAGAAGACCAGCCCATTTCCCCCGACTTTGCTAACTTCATTAGTAGTAGTAGTCCTAGAGCTTTCTATGTTGTGATTATGGCCATCATTTTTGGTGCTCCTCCTCTTCAAAAATATGCGGCAGAGAACCCAATTCTCCATTGGCACCACAGGGCTCTGAAAGAAAAATTTTTGGAATATTAACACCCATTGGTTAAAACGCACAGCAAATTGAACACGGCTTATTTCATCCAGGAGTCAATAAGAAAATTGTGACATACCTAGCAAAAGAAAATAGATGATTATGATATCGACTAACATTTGGTAGAATAAAGAGTTCCTTATGGCATGCGCAATCCGACTCGACTCACCTGATTCAAGTTCATTTTGGGCAGGGCGGTGTCGGGGGCTAGACCGTCGACCAGGCGATATTCATGCATGATCCAGTCGGTCTTGGAGCCGTGGGGGGCCTTCCCTCTGTAAAAAACCAGGGTCTTCTTCAAGCCCACCACCGATTGATCGCTCCTCGAGCTAACGATCCGCCTGTCGATCCCCGTGGCCTTCCAGTAACCCGAAACCGTGGCCCGGTTCGACCGGTTTCCGTTTGGGTACTTGGCCTCCCTCGTGCTGAAGAAGTACCTCTCTTGCTCTGTATCACCTGAAATCAGAGTCATACAATACGACCTTGAAAACTTAAAATCCTGAAAATCAGCATGTCCTGAGGAACTAGCTGATACATCACCATCAGTCTGGCATTGCAAAAGAGCATGTACACATAACTCCACGCTACTTAAACTGAAAATTTGTGCCACAAAATCAAACCAGGAACATCAAAAAAAGCTTTTCAAAATCAGCAGATTTCTTACCTGGCAAGTCCCAAGGGTCAGCCTTGCAGACATCAACCTCAGGGATGATGGAGGCAGGCAAAGGGCAAGCAAAGACCTTGCGCTTCAAGTACTGAACCACCAGCTCTTCGTCCGTTGGGTGGAACCTGAACCCTGGTGGCAACCTCAGCACTCCATTCTTCACAAAACTCACCTTCTCCATTCTCTTTCGGGCGCTCTGTGAAATTACAGCTTATTTTGACTCTGTCTATCTCTCTGCTCTCTTCAAACCCCTCAAAATCTTCCAGCTCTAACTGATTCATCAACCGCTTGGACACACACACACGCACACTCGCTCAGTTCGACGGACCCATGTGTGGAGACTTCTTCTAAATACAAGAAGACTCCCGGTAAAGCAGCTGGCTGAACAAGAACCCAAAGGAAAACCAAGAGAAAACCAAGAAACAAGAGGGAACAAGAACAAGATACAGAGAGACCTATAAAAGAAGCCGCGCACAAAAGGTGAGGAACTCGACCCTGCGCGTGCGTGTGTGGTGTAGAGAGAGAGGGAAAGTGCTGGTTCTTTATAAGCACGACCCCCAAGGGTCTCCTCGTCTCAGAGGCAGAAGAAGAAGAAGAAGAAGACGAGGACGACGACCCATCTGGCGTAAACGAGACTCAATCACCCCCTCGAATTTCTTTTTCGTTTTCCTTTTTCCACTGTTTCGACGTACGCCTACGGAAGCCGAGTGGGGGGCAACGATCGAAAAAGGTCAAAACACATCTCACGTCTCTCCCTTTCGTCGTCTTGGACGGGAGCTCTAGAGAAACTTGGGATCAAACGCTAGTTGCGTGCACTGTGCAGTGTGGGAATAACCGAAGCTGTAAGAAATCGGGACGTTTTCTTTGCTTCCAAACAACACCAACGACATCGTCCTCGTTCCCATTGATGATCCCTACCCTTCTCGAGTTAACGGGAGCGTACGACTCTCTCTTGTGATTCTTTTTGTCTCTTAGGATGAAGGGTGTTCGGTGGCAATGTTTGCGTCCGGGCAAGGGAGGTTCGATCCCGACTAAATATCCGACATCGAAAAGATCAGTCCGCGTTGTTCCGACGTGCTTGTTTGAGATTGAGAGGGGTTTGTGTTCCCTCGACTCACAACCTCACGTGATAGATATCTTTCGTGGATAAAAAAAATTATCTTTTAGGGCACTTTTACTTTCTGAAAAATGAATGATTTGAAAAATATTTTTCAAAAAATAATCGTTTATTTTGCTTGAAATGATTAGTCAATAAAAGATGTTTTCATTGTTAACAACAATTTATGTCTAGACATTATTATGAACGATGAAAATATTTATCATTTATTCATTTTTGTAAACCATACAAGCGATCATTTTTCGAAGAATAATTTTTCAAATCATTCATTTTTCGTAGAATAAATGTACCTAAAAATTTAAAAAGTAAATATAGGTAGTCACAAATCTAACGACTTCACAAATTTTCTGCAAACTTTTTCCTCGCTCTTGGACCCGTTCATCCAAAAACAAAAAAAATAATAATAAACTTGGTACAACGGAACGGGCTTGTCATAGAAATAGAAGCAATTTGATGAGGATCTATTAATATGTGTAAATGCAATAAGAAGGATCTCGTGTGGCGTGCAATAATCACATATGTAAGATATTTTCCGAATTTTTCAATATAGTGAATTATGAGGTAGTGAGAGAACATAATCCGTTCGAGATTATTACGATATATTTTTTTTCAGACGTGAGGTGCGAAAAATCTCAGAAAAATCTCTTTTAATGTCACTTTTGTTCCATACAATTCGACGTGTAGGATTATGGCAGTGTCCGTTCTGCTCGTTTTCAAATAAAATAAAATATTTTTAATTCGAGTTCTAGATGCCCCAAAGTTTGTACATGTAAATCGCGGTCAAAGTCAGAATCACGGGGGAGGACCGAAGCGAGTAAATACTGGACGGTGGGAGGGGCAATTTGGACATAACAAGCGGAAGGTGGAAAGGACAGCGATAGACATTTTCCGCCACGGGGAGGTGCAACTTTAGCTCCCGTGGGCACGGCGACGGACGGGGGTAGATGCCGGGGGGTGACGTCAGATGGCGTCACGGTTCCCTCGCCAGCTGGTGCCTCATATCCCCTCGCTTTCTAAATTTCCCGAAGGCGAAAGTACCACCGAGCATCGCTCGGGTCAAACGCACCACAACCGTTGATTTCGCGAGGCCTCCAAGGAATCAACGGTCGTGATGAGCTGAATTCGAGTCCGGAAGGCGAAACTCCCATCTTACGGGAGCGCTTCTATGGTCTCTCGAGGAGGCTTTTCAATTGATTCGTGAGATAGCGGATCTCGATTGCTAATTAAGATTGTTTAATCTTGAGTTAATACCATAAAAAATTCCGAACTGATTGATTAGTGACAAATTTACTTCAAATTAATTTTTTAAATTATCAAAAATCCCGAACTGGTACACATGTGACAAATTAGTTTCCGTTAAATTTTACTGTTAAATTACAAAATTAGATGACACGTGACAGTTAACGGGTGTATCACTTTAGAGTTTTACCCCTATATTTGCCGATTTACCATTTTGTGATTTTTTATAGTATTAATCCAATTTAACGGATGGTTAAATTGTCACGAATGTATCAATTTCGAGTTTTTTGTTGTCAAAAAATTAATTTTGAATGAATTTATCACAAGTGTGATAATTTATGATTTTTTGCGGTATTAACCCCTTAGTCTTTTACTTTTTAAAGTTGCATTGTTTAAAATCAATGGTAAAGATGCGCGTGAATTTTTGGACATTTTTAAGTAAAAAAGATGTTGATGAAGTTTGGTTTATGCCGATTCATTCGGTGCTAGAGTCATGGATGACGAGGGCAGTTTTTGCCGGTACGAAAGGGGACAGAAAATGGTCGGACGATTATCGTACTCGAAACGTTGCTGCTTTTAGCTTCTTCGTCGGCGGTTGAAATGTCGTTGCCGTTAAGTATGGCAAAATTTCCCTCATGGCTCGAAATCAGGGAAAACGTTGACCCCTAGAGGAAGATTTTTTCTAAAATATTCATTTTTCAATTAGAATATCTGTTGCCAAGCTATAAAAAGATGGGATAACAACATAAATAATCGCTGAATTTTGGTTCAACGTGTAATGTGGTCCCTAAATTTTAGCTCAATGTGCAATGTGGTCTCTGAACTTTTAATTTGTTCAATGTGATCCCTTGACTTTTTGTACATGTTCAACTTAATCCTTAAATTAACTTAGTCTTTGAACTATATGAAATTGTTCAATATTGTCCTTTCAATAATCCAAGTTCAGGGACATTATCGAACATTTTCATATGATTCAGGGACTAAAGTGGATATGTACAAAAAATTCAAGGACCGCATTGAACAGATTGAAAGTTCAGGAACCGTATTGAACAAATTAAAAATTCAGGAGCCACATTACATATTGAGTCAAAGTTTAAGAACCTGTGTGTCATTTTCCCTAAAAAAATTCTAGGAAATAGAAAAGAAAATAGTCCGAGTCGAAAGCGAGATGTTGGAATCATGTCGTGAGAGCTCGGCTCCCCATTCTTTGTACTCCGTCGGGTGTTTTTATCTTGAGCGGATTTCTCGTTAGCAATCTCTCTGATCACGCTTTCCAGACACCGCATTGTACTCGAATCCATCGGCAATTATTTCAAAAACCGTAGCAATGTCATGGTAACGTGACGAAACAGTGAGGTGTGTACATACGCGATACACGTGTGTCACTTGCTAGCAATTCAGTGCAAAAGGGCATATTTCTTCTATAAAAACAAAACCGAATGAGCAGCATCCAATCATTAATATTCCAGAAATTTCATCTGATCTTATATATCTATCTATTCTGCGTAAAAATTATTGCACCAAAAAGGACAAAAAGAGAAAAAGAAAAGAGATGAGAAGGGGATTGGAGGATTGAAATCGACCATTCCCTGCAGATTCTTTTAAAAGCATGCGGGCCCTTTTCCCCTGCCATCTCTTTGACTAGTCTGAGTGCCCCTTCCATATATATATATACACACCATTTTACTATATATAATAAATATAAATTGTTAACGAACGCGACTCGAGGGTAGGCACGGGACGGGAATGGATATCTCGTCCCCCATCTTCCCCCCGGGACGGGATAAGTTGCCCCGGGTGCGGGGGTAAATTTTCAAGTAATACTTTTCTAATGTAAATTTTCTAAATTTATCATTGTTTTGACATAATATTCACCAGTAAATCACCAAGATACTTGCAAATGTCTAAATACGGAAAGAGAAAATGGGAACAGAAATATTAATTGATATGAGAAGTTTTGCTACGTTATTTAATCAATGTAAACTCATTGTATGGATACTGAAAATCACATGCATGAAATGTAAGTAGCATAGTAACATATATAGAAACCTATATGATATTTTTTTTTCTTTGAATCATCGAAAATAGAAAAAAAATGGAATTTTTGTCTGTATTTGGCCATATACAATTGGTGGAGCGATTTTTTTTTTCTAAATTTTCATTGAATATCTTGGACAAATTTTAGAGCTAAAACTAGAGGTTAATACATGTCAATATATCTTTTATGGCTCTCATACTAAAGAAAAATTTGGATGATGATCTCTAAACATTTGATGGGTTATAGTTTAATAATTACCAAGGTTTTTTTAGATTCAAATGATTAAAGTAGATTGAGAATTGAGGGAAAAAAGATCACAATTTGTGAAAGACCCCATTGATAGACTTTTTTTTTGTGAAATACATATACATTGCCATCAGTGGAGTGTAGAGGGGTTTAACAGAAATCTTTCTAGTGACCTATACCCAATCCGATTCATAGATAACACATACCGACCCGGCTCATATTTTCTAAAATACTTTCATATTTAACACAATCTAGGAAAACTCTTATCCAAATCAAGGTAAGAACGTGGAGTGAGCGAGCGCAAGATCGAGTGAATGTGAGAGAAAGTCATAAAGGTGGGCTGTGAATCCATTTAACACTAATATTATTACCATTCTAAATTCATTTACGACCCATTTACTGAATACAACTAATCCATACAATCAATCAGCCCATCATATATGGATTAATTAATTGGTTTATGACCAATTTTGACATGTCTAATTGTATTTAACGATCAGTACAGTCTATCTTTAAAAAAAAGGAAAAAGCAGAAGAGAAAAGGGCATCTTGGTCAATGTGAAGTCCATGGTTGGTATGATCGAGCGGGACGGGGGGGCGAGGGAATAAAAGCAATAGGACCTACTTTGCCCCGAAACGACGGGCACCCACATCGGACTCGGAGAAGGTGACAAAATGCCACCTTCAATGCGATGCTCCATTTCAAGATTTCCTCAAATCTTCTTGTCTCACTAGTTTGGACTGTATAGAAAGTCCTATTTGGAGAAATCGTCTCTCAAGAATCTTCCCTCCATCCACAATTTGACTCTACAGCATCGCCCCTTGCATGCAAATTTAATGATAGAATACATATATATTCAGAATTTTGTCTTCCTTCCATTTGTTTTTTTGCCGTTTTTCAATTTCTGGATTCCGGGTTTTGATTCTTCAACT